AAAGTCGCCAAGGTTGAGAAACACTGCTCTAGAGAGACAGATCTACAAGTGAGATTTTCATTTTTCCATCTTTGGGGCTGAATGAAAAATAATGAGCATTGTGACTTGCGAGCAGACGCCAATACAGGTAGTCCTCGACTTACGACCACAATTGAGCCCGACATTTCTCTTGTTGAGACATTAATTGAGTTTTGTCCCATTTTACAACCTTTCTTGCCATAGTTGTGAAGCGAATCACTGAAGTTGTCATGTTAGTAACCCAGTTGTTAAGTGAATTTGGCTTCCCCATTGACTTTACTTGTCAGAAGATCACAAAAGTGGATGTATATGACTTTACGACACAGCAGCGGTCATAAATATGAACCAATTGCCAAGCATTTGAATTTTGATTACATGATCATTGGGCTGCTGCAAAGGTCGTAACTAGGAAAAATGGTCATGTCCCTTTTTTCACTGCAGTTGTAACTTTGAACGGTCACTAAATGAACTATTGTAAGTCGAGGACTACTTGTACTGATAGTCCTCAACTTACAACAGTTCACTTAGTGACCTTTCGAAATTACAACGCCACTGAAAAAAAGTGAGTGACTTATGACTTATGACCAATTCTCTCTCCCCGTTTGAGGAGAAACTGTTCAGGCAGGACCAACACTCACTTATGACCATTGCAGCATCCCCACGATCATGTGATTTACATTTGGATGCCTGACAACTGACTCACAGTTATGACAGTTGCAGTGTCCCGGGGTCATGAGATCACCTTTTGCAACCTTCTGATAAGAAAAGTCAGTGGGGAAACCAGATTCACTTAACAACTGGGTTACTAATTTAAGAACTGCAGTGATTCACTTAACAAAGGTGTCAAGAAAAGTTGTAAAATGGAGCAAAAGTCACTTAACTTTCTCACTTAGCAACATAAATTTTAGCCTCAATTGTGGTCATAATGTGAGGACTCCCTGTATTAGGATCTCTGGTGTGCCTGTTCTTTCATTTCATTGGGGGAAAGTTGCTGTGAAGAAAGGTTGGGGTTGCTGTTTGTGAAATAGAAGCCTACAAGTCAGTATTTGCTTTAAACAATGCGCTGAACTGTACTTTTGACTGCCATTGCTGAGTGTAAGTTGTTTACGGTGATGAATGCATTGACATGAATATTGTGTTGCTGGGCCAAAAAATATAAAGATAGTGAATTGGGAAATGCTGATTTCTATGATCAAGAATAAAGCAGACCAAGTTTCACATCAAAACAGTTGATGAACTTTGATTAGGGACAATTGGCAGATTACTCAAAGGGAAATTTCAATCAGTCTTGGCATTTCAAGTGGTTCAACTTATTGATGTTCTTCAGTACAGGTATAAGCCCTTGACCTATAACCATAATTGAGGCTAAACTTTCTGCTGCTAAGCAAGGCAGTTGTTCAGTGAGTTGCATCTCCTTTTACAACCTTTTTTGGCACAGTTGTTAAGCGAATCTGGCTTCCCTTATTGACTGTACTTGCTGGACGCTGGCTTGGAAGGTTACAAATGGTAACCTCGGATTGTGCAATTGTCATAAATACATGCCAGTTTCCAAGTGCCTGATTTTTGATCTCATGACTGTGGAGGTGTTGAAACTGTCGTAAGCGTGAAAACCAGTCATAAGTCACTTTTTTCAGTGCCGTTATAGCTTTGAATAGTTACTAAACAAATGGTTGCAAGTTGAGAACGGTTCCACCACAAATGCGCGAACGACAAAAGCGCGCCTGACTAAACCACGCCGACAAATGAGCGCTGAAGCGCACCGACAACAGTGCGCCGACAGAAGCGCGCTGTAACCTAACCCTAAACCTAACCCTAACCCTAAACCTTACCTTAACTTAAATCGCGCTTCTGTCGGCGCGCTGTTGTCGGCGCTTTTGACATCGCGGTTTTAGCGCCGCAGTTTTGACGTTCGCGCTTTTGTCGGGTCACGGTTGAGAACTACCTGTAACAGAAGATATGTGCAACATGGATTCCTTTCACAATGATGGCAGAGATGAAAACTTCAGGAGTTGAAATTTGCTAGCAACTGTCTTGTCAGCAGTTGTCCAAAGACAACACAGCAAAATCTTGCTTACAGAATCTTGCCAGTCTAAAGCTATAACCTACCCTGAACCTCTTCCTCCCACCTTCATCCAGTTCGGGATTGTGTAGTCTCTTAACTTGAGCTTCTTCTGGAATGTACTGCCTCCTCCCTGAGAAACTGTGGTGCTTCTGAGATTGGGTCTATGACAATTTGCCATGGCCAACTCACGCTACAGCCAACTTGAGGTGGAACAACTCGCCATGGCCAACTCGGTGCAGGACAATTTGGTGCGGGACAAGAGTTATCTTGTCCTGCACCAAAGACTAATAACTAAGAAATGGTGGAATAGAATCGTTAAAGAAAGGATGCCAAAGGAGGGACAGAATGAATGTGAATGACAAAAATTAAAATATCTTTTCATCTTATTTTAAATAATTGTTCAATTGTCCCACGGCAAGTTGGCTATGGTGAGTTAGCTGTGGAGAGTTGACCATTGACCATGTTGAGTTGGCTGTGGAGAGTTGTCCCATTCTGGCTGAGATTTCCCCCCACCCCACCCCAGCTTTTTCTCCAGATGCACATTCCATAACATTGCCGCACAATGAGAATGAACATGAGGAATTTTTTCACAGCATCACAATAGCTGATGAAACATGGGCTCATCATTATGACCCAGAAATGAAGCCAAGAAATATCATCACATAATTTCATTGGGGGGGGGGGGGTTTCAACCCAGGTTTGGCAGGAAAATTCAGTTTTCCAGTTTTTTTGAGATGGAGATAGTGGTATTTTGATTCATTTTCTTGAATCTGTCAGAGTTATCAATTCAGAGTGCTGTATTGCAACACTTAAAACTTTGGAACAATCATCAAAAGTACAAGAAGAACATTTTGCAGCAACACGGCAGCACTAGGCCTTATAACTCAAGAGCCACCCAAGAGGCAGTTGCTCTCATGTTTTTAGCCCCATTCACCATACAGTAAGAGTTGGTGCCATGCAACTTTCTCCTTTCCCCCAAATTAAATTGAAGGAATACCTTCATGTGCATCTGACTGAAAAGGTAGAAAGGACTGTCAGGACAAAATGTGGGGTTCCTTTGTGATAGTTTTAAGAAGCCATCATTGGCAGAAGTTGGTAGCAAATGGTCATGATTATGTAAACTGAAGTAACAAAAGAATTTATTTCAGGGAACATTTTCCTGCTTCATTCATAAAATGAATGAATAGGGATATTTTAACGAAAGCTACAGAAGCAGAACGTTACTTTTCATGTAACGTTCATATACAGGTAGTCTTCGACTTACAACAGTTTGAAGTTACAATGGCACTGAAAAAAGTGATTTATGACCATTTTTCTCACTTAATAACTGTTGCAGCATGGTCATACGATCGAAATTCAGACGCTTGGCAACTGACTCAGATTTATGACAGTGTTCCAGAGTCGTGTGATCGCCTTTTGTGACCTTTTGACAAGCAGGGTCCATGGGAAGCCAGATTTACTTAACCATCATTTACTTAATCCCCTAACTGAACAACTTCAGTGTTTCACTTAACAACTGTGGCAAGAAAGGTCGTACAATGGGGCAAAACTCACTTAACAAATGGCTTGCTTAGCAACATAAATTTTGGGTTCGATTGTGGTCTTAAATTGAAATCAGAATTAGCTGCAATCTTTCTGCCAACATGCAAGAGATGTATTGCTAGGCTGTCAGCAGGACCCTAAATTTTTTAATGTAATTAAGACAGATGTTGACACCAACGTTAAAACAGGGCAACTGATTCTCAAACTATTAAAAAGTAAAAATGCTTAGGCATGCAGCCACATGGAGAAATGAAAGAGCAAAGAAGTAAGCCAATGGATACACTGTTTAGCAAGTCTCTGCTGGATCTCAGCAGATGGATGCAACCCTTTCATCTTGACCATCCTTCTCCAAAGTCCTCCAGTTTCATTGGCCCTATAAAACAACGTATGAAGCCAGATCTCCCTCCCTTTGTATCTGCATAAGGAGGAAAGAAAGAACATTATTGATATTAGAGAAGCAAAATGGCCAATGTACATAGCTAAACACTCCTGCAGCCATATCCCTTTCAGACCTGGATTGCAGTTCCACTCATCTACACAGAGAAAGGTTGGTTCCTAGCTTTCTCTCCCGTAATTGAATTCAAGGCTAGAAAACTTTAGAACAGTGCAACAGATAGCTCCTTAAGTATGTTTTGGGCTTCCAGGAACCTTGAATTCTTTTCTTTTATGTTCAAATAATTCTTTCCAAGCCACGTATTTGGAAATGATTGCATTAGAAGTATTTGTGATGCAGATCTCATGTCTCCCATCCCTCTTTCTCTTACAGTTTCGCTTCTAAAAGATTTGAAACATGCCAATATAGTGACCCTGCATGATATCATCCACACAGAGAAATCCCTGACTCTTGTCTTCGAGTATTTAGTGAGTATATGGAGGAGGGGAAGGAATGCAATAAATTGGAGCGCAACTTTCTTTTATGTCTGAAAATCCAGTTCTCACTAAGATCTAGAAAATTAAGAGCCACCACCCTCTTTCCTTATATGCAAGCTGCCACTTTGGTTCGAAAATGATGGTCTTTAAACTCCAGGCAATAGAGAGGTCCTTCTGAAGTTTTCTGGGAGAATTCCAAGTACTTTTGAGAGAATTCTCTGTTTGTTTTTGGAACAGCCAGTTCAGCAGCAAGTTCTGTAGCTTGGGTGGAACCTACCGTAGTTCTCAAAGGTTAAGTTACAAAAGCTTAATAAATGACACTACAACTCCTCCTTCTAAGAAGGTAAAGCGTTTCATATATTTGACCTCTAAATCAGTGTTTCTCAACCTTGGCCACTTGAAGATGTCTGGACTTCAACTGGACTTCAAGCGAATGCTGGCTGGGGAATTCTGGGAGTTGAAGTCCAAACATCTTCAAGTGGCCAAGGTTGAGAAACACTGCTCTAAATAAAACAAGTATATATCGTAGTTGCTTTCTTGCTTCAAGTGGGAAGTTTCTGGGGCTGAAAGATAAGTGGCTTGTAATCCCTTGGTGGAGCTATGAATAAAGAATTGGATCAGGGACTGGTTTCCATCAGCTCCCATGTTTCATTTTCCTTATTCAGTTGCCTGTATCTATAGGGGGGATCACCATAGTGCCCAAGCGCATTGTACTCATTGCACATGCCTTAATTAAGATGAGTCAGCCTGGGAACCAGCTGGCATGGAGTATCTGATGCAACCCTCCCTCTTACTTCAGTTCAAGTCATTAAAGCTGGAGCACTGTTGAGGCAGAGATGGATGCTTGGAGTACCACTGGTTCTCAGATTGCTATATTGGCCCATTATATCATGGGAGTAGTGGGAACAACACGCAGTGAATCTTCCAGCTGTAAAGCTGTGTGTGCCAGTCTGTGTTTGCTTACCCAATATTAAGACCTTCCGATTTAATTGTTGAACAGTATTATCTAGTTGAAACAATAAATGTACCAGAGATAAGATCCTGTCCTTTTCTTTCACAGGATAAAGACCTCAAACAGTATCTAGATGATTGTGGGAACGTAATAAATATGCACAATGTGAAGGTAAGGGTTAATTCTTAGTACGGCTGATCCTTTATTTTCAGCAATTGCTTTCAGCTACTTCAGGGATAGGAGAATTGCTTACAGTGCCAGCAAAGATTACAGGTAGTCCTCAACTTACAACCCCAACTGATTTATGTTGTTAAGTGAGAAATTTGTTAAGTGAGTCTTGCCCCATTTTATGACTTTTCTTGCCACATTTGTTAAGTGAATCATTGCAGTTGTTAAATTAGTAACACGCTTGTTAAGTGAATCTGGTTTCTCCATTGACTTCGCTTGTCAGAAGGTTGTAGAAGGTGATCAAATGATCCCAGGACACTGCAACTGTCATAAAAGTGAATCAGATGTCAAACATCCAAATGTAGATGATGTGATCATTAGGGATGCTGCAATGGTCATAAGTGGGGAAAATGGTCATAGGTAACTTTTTTCAGTGCTGTTGTAAATTTGAACAGACACTTAAGTGAACTGTTGTAAGTCAAGGATTACCTGTAGTTACAGATTCCATTGGGGGATCTGATGTGTTTCTTGTAGTGGAGGAGAGTATCCTTAGTTGACTTCCTCCCTTCCACTCCTTTCCACAGGCAAGGCTACAAATTTCTTGTTCTCCCTATAGGAAGAGAGAGAGAGCAACCTCCGGGCTGGTTTTCTAGCTCCATTTCTCAGGGAGCTCTTGGGGGATTATTCAGGTATGCTACCCTGGAGTTAGGATCACTTATCTCAGGGCTCTGCCTTGCTACTTTTGCAGGAGGGCTTACTACCGGTATTCACCCTGGTTGCAACCTACATTCATAGGAACACCGGGGTCAATAGATATTGGTGCACAGCGTTTTTTAGAGCATGAAATACACCCTCACACCTCCTAAGGATTATAGTGAATGATCACTGATTCCCTAGTATTGATGATTGGGAGAGTGCTCCCTCCATCTGGAATGTGAAGTTGGATTAGGCATGTAATCATAGAATTATTTGCTCCTTTCATTTTGTTTGCTCCCTGGGTTCTAAAATGTGAGTCATGCTCCCCTCAAAGTTTGCCTCATAGTCACATCCTTGATGGTTGGAAGAGAAATCAGGAAACTTCATCTTGCTCAGCTGCCTCCACTTTTTATGGGTAACCTGGTGTATAGGAGCTGTTGTCTTAAAAAGTTGTTTCATAACAACGTCTCCCTCTCTGCTTAATCTTAAAGGAATCTGGGCAAAACTGCAAACTGGGTCTCACACTGAAGATTGAGAGTGTAGGAGATGACCAGGCTGAGTCTGAGGGAGTGATCAAATATGTCATCAGACATGAGTCCCTGCATGCCCACAAGAGATCTAAGTCCAATCCACCTTGAATTCCTTTCTTAACTCCTGGTAATTTCCCTTGACCCTTAGTTGTTCAGATTGTTGTAGTGACCTTAAGTTTGCAGTAAATCTTTATACTCATTTGAACTGCCTGAATCTCCTGTTTTCTTGATACTTGACAGAGAGGAAATAGTCTTACTGCCTTATGTAAACCTTTTCCTCTAATGGGGAAGCTGGAGAACATCTGGCTGAAGAGAACAACAAAATAACAGTTTATTCAGAGCCTTTTTTTCTTGCGTGGATTTTTCACTTTTGACCAAGGAAGTCAGTAAGAGGCTAATTTTAAGGGCCTCTCAGTAACTGGTCAACCTGGCCATGAAAACCAAATATGTTTCACTTAAAAGAAATTACCAACAGTGGCCAGACACCATTATCTTTCTCTGTTTTGAACCCTTAAAGATTCTTTCGTGGATGCTCCAATAATCCATTGGTTTCAAGCATGTTGCTGGAGAAAACCTCCCTCATCCCAATAGGATAACACATGTTTTTCTTAAATGTGTCATGACACAAAGGTAGCCAGTGCCTCAATTGCTATGGCCTCTATTTTTTAGCATAAGCAATTTCTTCTACCTTATTTGGAATTGGTATTATTTGGGCAATAAAGCTAACTTCATGGCAGATTTCAACCTTGATGTACCATAATTCTCAACTAAGGTCATTTGCAAGTTGAATGTAGGTTCTAAAACCAACCTTGTTCTTATCCCCAGCAGCTTTAAAAATTATAAGACATTGGAGGATTTCTTAGATAAAGTTCTGATGGAAACTAAGGGGAAAAATGAAGACTCCCTAGTTTCACCTAGGTGAGAAATTAATAAAAAACCCAGGGACACAATTTTTTGGTCCTTCTTGGTTCATTTTGGAATCCAAGCTCTCATACAGCTGAAACAATAACCTCCCCATCTTCATTTTAGAGGATCTAATGTTCACATCTTTGCAAAGGGACTCACAAATAGCAATGATGGCAGGCTTCGTTGGCTCACAACATCAGTCTCTCAAATGCTCTGCACATGCAGCGGAGATATTTCATCGTGTTCCAAATTATTCTTCATTTCTTTCCTTGGGTTTGAAATCAGAAGGACTGCCAAATACTAGGGGTGGTGATAGATCTTTTTCTGGCCATTAAGGCCACTGAACCATTTTCACCTTCTGAAAGAGCCTCAAGTACTACTTTAGATATGAGTTGTGGTTCCCTGGAAGAAAAGATGAGGAGGAGAAACAATACTAGACTTGAAGTGGGGGAATCAGCACATAGAATACTGCAGGCCTTGTATGGAGTCATTCCATCATGGAATGTCTCATAGGCTGAAACATCCTGGCTTCCCTGGATCTTCAGGAGGCCACTCTGTATATTTTGATCTATAGCAATAGCAATAGCAATAGCAGTTAGACTTATATACCGCTTCAGACTTATATACCGCTTCATAGGGCTTTCAGCCCTCTCTAAGCGGTTTACAGAGTCAGCATATTGCCCCCAACAACAATCCGGCTTCTCATTTTACCCACCTCGGAAGGATGGAAGGCTGAGTCAACCCTGAGCCGGTGAGATTTGAACAGCCGAACTGCAGAACTGCAGTCAGCTGAAGTNAAACCCCACTAACGAGCCCCAGCTGCATCGTTAATCTTGCATTCCGAAAAGACTCACAGAAGACTGCTGCTGAGTCACAACACATACTGTAGTAACTTGCTCTGCTAGTGTTGGTGGACATGTGGTTTTCTTGCCAAGGAAAGAGGAAATTCCACACTCACTGGCACTGATGATGTTAGCTAGTCGGGTAATGAAACAACTAAGCTCAGAGAGCAGCAAGGACTCCACAGTCCAACCATGAGTTACACATATTTTCTTCTGCTGGAAGAGTATAAATATCACTGCCACTAGTGAAATGGTAGCAAAGAAATTGAGTGAACAATCCATAAAGTAGGGATTGTTCTCATTGAAATGACAAATTTGTTTGATCGGTACGACTTCAGAGATCATTTTTCTGTTTTAGGGAAGTTTAGGCTTGGGAAGATGGGAATTATAAGGAGAAGGAACATCAGGGTGGGATGAGGATGAGAAAAGGGGATGAGAGACAATGAAAGAAGATAAACATTGAAATAATTTTTATGTTGAAACTGTAGTTTTTTATCTTAAGGGTGGGGTGAAATGCAAGAACTGAGGGATGGGCTGGTGCTTACAGACGATGACAGGATACTTATTTATCAAAAATTATTTAATCAAATTTGTATATCTGCCATCTCATTGTCTTAAGAGACTGGCCAGTTTACAAGTACCGTGTTGGGCTGTTAACTTAAATTCTGCCTCTTTCCCATCAGGGAACCTATGCCACGGTCTACAAGGGAAAGAGTAAACTCACTGACAACTTGGTAGCCTTGAAGGAGATCCGTCTTGAGCATGAAGAGGGCGCCCCTTGCACAGCCATTCGGGAAGGTATAAACCTATAGCCAATTCTTCTAGGGCTTTGAAAGAAACCCTTGCATTTTCTTGTCTTTTTAACAGAAACACTGGGAAGGTATTATTTGAAAGAAAAGAATCCTGAAAACTGGTTGGCTTGCTATAGAATTGCACCACTTGTAAGCTGCCTTGAGAACTCCATGTAGCTATAAAGTAATGGGAGGTTAGAAGAATCTGTAGACCTTAAAAGCAAAGAAAAGCATAGCATTCATCTGAGCCAAACAGCCGTAACTGTACCTAGAGGAGTCATTTACCAAACGTTTAGTTCAGCCTTTCCTAATCCCATATTCTTCAGATACGGTCCTGCTGGCATGGAATCCTGAGCAATTTAGAGCGTGTCAAAGCAGGGAAGGCTGCCGTAGATGGGCATAGACCTTGAAATGCAAAAAATCATAGTGAGAAATGCAGTAGAATTCAGTCAAAGTCTGGATGAGTTAGATGTCTAGAGCAGTGTTTTTCATCCCTTGGCGACTTTAAGTCCTGTGGACTTCAACTCCCAGAATTCCCCAGCCAGCGAGAGCTGGCTGGGGAATTCTGGGAGTTGAAGTCCACAGGACTTAAAGTNATTGTCACTTTTTCTGTGAACACACTAGCATACATTAAAAAATGAAATTCTGATGCCCACTCTCAAAAGAAATGTGCCTGTGTGTGTACACATATACTTCACACATACACACACACACTACCACCATTTAGAATACATATCAGAAAAAAGAGTCTTGAGATTTAACAAGGTTGAATGTCGTTCTGCTTTGGATACTGCGAAGCCTCCTCCCAGAAGGTAACAAAGAAAACCAGTCATGGAGAGGATGCGTAGAATCTCAGACAATACTGCGGTTCCTGTTGAAAGTATTGCTTATATGCCATGTCCTGGAAAGAAAAGAATGAACTTCCAATAATCTTTTCTGCTGTCCTCACCACTCTCTGCATAGCCTCCCTGTCCATGGTGCAAATTTTGGACTCAAATGGAACTGCTGTTGGACATTCCTACATTAAATGTACTCAATGTGCTTTTGGAGATACATATTCCCCAAATGATCACAAGCAGTGATGCCCAGTAAAGAGAATTTTTTAAAAAATTCTTCAACTATATATAGCAAATCCCCAAGTTAAGAATGCCTCAGTTTAAGGATGACCCATAGTTAAGTACAGAGCCTAGTGTAGCAAAATCCAAGTCAAATACACAATGTTTCAAGTTCATTACACAATACTAGTTACACAGTATTATACAACAATACTGATTCTGATTTACATGCAAATTCAACTAAAGGGCAGATCTTGGGAACAGAACTGGGGACTACCTGCATTTTCCTTTCATGCTATGTTGGTTATAGATGCAACAGTGGCACTGCTTTGCGGTTTGGAAGTATATCAGGAAAAGAAAGCAACATACAGATCAATTATTGTACATAATAAATGTCTGTGTAAAAGATGTGCAGCATGAACTATTCTGCGAATGGTAGGAATTTGTGTTTGCCTAGAAAAATTCACTTAGATGGCTTTGTTCCCTCTTCTAGTTGTTTCTGTTCCAGCTGCTACGTGGCCTAGCCTACTGTCACCGTCAGAAGGTGCTGCATCGAGACTTGAAGCCCCAGAATTTGCTTATTAACGAGAGAGGGGAGCTCAAACTAGCAGATTTTGGTGAGTATTGTCAAATCCTTTTTGGATCTATACCCCAGCAACCTTTGGGCTGGCATGCTCTTATTCTTGGTAACTGATGGCCTCGAGGGCAGGAGTGATATGAGGATTGAACCAGATTTTTCATTCCCATCACACTTCCAATGTCTGCCAATATATTACCAAATTTCACTGTTACAATTCTTATCAGCTGCAACATAGTTTTAAAACAGGAGCAGGAGGGTGAGGAACCCCTCAAATCTTATTTTCTGCTCCGTGGAAGGTTTTGTAAATACATGTCTGTGTTTTACAGGATTAGCCCGGGCAAAATCTATCCCCACCAAGACCTACTCCAACGAGGTGGTAACACTTTGGTACCGACCGCCTGATATTCTGCTGGGCTCGACAGAATATTCCACCCAGATTGACATGTGGTACGGATTCTAATATCTGATTCCCTGAATGGTTTTTTTAAAAAATATTTCCCTAGGACAACTTACTCATTTGCCACACCGTGGGGCACTCAATCCAACGATACCCAAGTTCAAAAAAGTACTTCCTAAGTTTTAAAAATTGCCCAAAACAATTTAGTTAATTATAAGTTTTCAGAAAATACGTTTTGCATTTTTTCCATCATCTTTGAATAGGCTCAGGTTGTGTCCTTCCTGGCTTGTATGCAGAAGTGAGGCTCTGTGCCTCGTTCATTAATAAACACACACTCCAGGCCACTTAGAGTTCAGGAAGGAAATTGTTGTAGAAGAGAAAAAGGATTGAAGCTAGAGTCAAGTGCTAAATGTACATCTGCTGATTCCCTAAACCAGTTAACTTCAATTTGGGTCTCCCCAATTCCAGTCAATTCTTTCTGCAATAGAGTGGTCCTCGCTTAACAACCATTCGTTCAGTGTCTGTGCAAAATTATGATGAACAAGTGGTAGTTATGACTGGTCTTTATGTTGGTCACTGTGTCTTTGCGATCTGGGTAGCTTGGTTGCTCAGCTCACAGGATGTTGCAGTGTTCCACGGCCACATAAATTTGTGACTTTTTTTTGCCAGTAGAGAAGCCAGTAGGTGGTTGCCAATCGCAGCCAATGTGTTATCCTCACCTAACAACTTGCACTGGTTTGCTTAATTGATGGCAAGCAGAAGTGCCAGAATTTCTGTCACTAAGCAGTGCATTCACACGATGTCGCTCTTTGTGACCACACTGCTTAGTGACAGAAATTCCTATCTCAATTACCATCATTAGATGAGGGCTACCTCTAGTGGTTTTTAAACTGCAGCGGGAGGTTTTCAGGAAGCGTAACATCAGTTTTATAAAGCAGTCCTGCCAGACAAGTCAACTTATTCACATGAATTGATATTTACTGTAATATAGAGGTGATAATGTTATATAGGTGCTCTGTTTAAAATCCTAAGTATATTTTTGGAGATTTTCAAAATTCCACATATTTTTTCCCCGTGGCTAAAGGATTTGCCAGTGACATCACCGTTGCCCAGGGGATGCCCAGTTGGAGGTTCCTTTCATGTCCC